TTTTCTTGAGCTCAAGTGCTGCAAATAACTGCATGAATGTATTCTGCTTAGGTAAACCGAGAATGTAGAATCGAAGCCTGGTAAATGTAGCTTTCGAGCCGTAATATACGCGCAGTCTGTTGGTTTATTGCTTTAACGTTTAAAATGTAAAATATGTAAAAGTTCAGAAATATGATTTTGTAACTATATATGGATGACAAGACATATTGTCTCTGATAAAAGATGTAATTTCTGAAAGCTGATTTTCTTTAAAAGTTTAGGAATTGTCATCACAATCCCAGCACACTTACACACAAATATCATTAAAATTGATTCTAACGAAATTGAAACTCAGAAAAGACGTCGTTTAAAGTGGCTTTCTTTGCGTTCCTCTAACTTGGAAAAAGTTTTTCTAGTGGAAACTTGAAATATAAAATTTGTGGCGATCCTAATATCATCTTTATAGTATGAATGCGGTCGACAAGAGGAAAACTTTTTAACACTTGTCAAACAAATTCGTATGGAACCACAATAATACCATATATGAATAAAAGCAAATTTCTCATTGAAAGATCAAATTTAATTAAAAACTTACAGAAAATTAACTAAAAAGAGAAAATAAATTTCTATGTATATACCTTTTTTTTTCCTTTAAAAAATTTTTATTGACACCTTATGTCTTGCCCATAACAAATTTCTAACCACAGTAATAATATTTTCACTTCCTGATCCAAAAAAAAACAAAACAAAAATTAGTCACAAACCAAACATAGTTAACTAACATTTTATCAATATTACACAAATCCAACAACACTGTGTCTGTCTGCTATTTAAGACAAACGCCTAACTAACCGCAATCACACAATAAATAATTTACCACAAGAAGCCTTTACTTAATACTTAATTTTCTCCAAAAAAACAATACAAAAAAACAAACAGAAACACTTAAAATGAAGTATAGCTATAGAGAAAAAAATTCACAAACGAAAAATAAATGTTGTCAAACAACTAAATAACAGTAAAAATAAGAAAAATAATAAAATAATAATAAATAAAAAACAATTAAAATTTTATAAATTACCATAAACAGCCGCTAATATTAAAGTAATAATAATCGATCAAAATCTCCGATATCCTACGTACAATATTATAGTAGAAACTTTATGGAAAATCTTAACAGAGTGGACTTACATATCGTATTAAAATTGAATAAGTCATCCCAACTATAGGATTTTGTCTTAACAGCTTAACAAATTTTTGTTTTATTATTTATCAGAGTCTTCCGCATTTTAAAATACTTACAACATCACTCATATTCTTTTATACGAATAATAAGATGTTGTACAGATTGTTATTCAAACATTTCGTAATTCTCTGAAGAAAATCAAATTTGAAATTTGAAGTTCTACAATGCAACCCTTAATGTTTATGAATAATGTCCCATCATTACAAATGATGAATACATTAAAATAAAATGGTTTGAATGATTAATAGAAATAGAATCTATTCGACTTTAACTCAGGTACTTTAAACATTTCTTGCTCCATCATATTTTACGGGGAAGCTTCCCATTACGACCATTATGACCCTGTCCATTTGAATGATATTTTGTATTATTAAGTATTTTATATATTTATAAACAAAATCTAAATATTTAAAGTTAGTTAATTTGGTTATAAAATAAAAGTTTAATACACACATTTGAAATTATTTAATCATAAAAGACAAGTTTAAGTCTTGGATTTTCTGTTTTTCTTTTCTTCGGTGCAAGCTTTTGGGTATTGTGAGTCTGGACATAGGATTACTTTTAACATTTATTTAAATAAAGTACCAAAATGTACAATATAAAAGGTGAACCATCGGAAATTACCAAAAATAATCAAAAAATCAACATATAATATGTATGTATGCATTTATATGTACACGCATATTTAATTTATGTAGTTGTAAGTTTTGCAAAAATTAATTTATGCGAATCCATCAATCCAAAAACGGCCAGCCCTTTTTTTTACTTTTTGATTTCTAGCATATTGCTATTCCTACGTAAGTTAAAATGAAGTAAAGTCGGATCAAACCGGATGCTTTGTAAAGTAGCACTTTTTTCTTGAACAAGTTATTAACAATGCTTTTTAAAAAAACAATCAGCTGTTTCAATTATTCTCATTAATATTCCGTGACTATATTGAGAAAAAAAATATTGCATACTTCTTGGTAAAAAATTAAAAATTAGAAAAACGCATTAACATAATGGTCAAATTCGACCATTCAAGCTGAGTCAAGCTGAGTTAAGATAGATCACTATATTTTTTTATGATAGCGTTTTGTCTTCATAAAAATTTGAAAAAACTTTCCGTTTCGAAAATATATGGGACCAATAATAGAAATTTTACTAATTTCACGCGGGAATTTGGCAGACGGCGGACCAGAAAAAAAGTTCTTCCATTAGAAAGTTCCAATAGAAGGTAAGGAAGAAGAATTTGAAAAAAAATAGTTATTTTCTATAGTATGAGGTGCCAATGGTAGCGAGGTAGTTAAAGATTTCCTACTAGGAACATAGGTTCCTCGTTAAAACCTGTTTGCATATAAAATTTTAGCTTTTTATATCAAAGGGTGTAAAAGATTTGTAAACAAGCATATTAATAGACGGACATTACCAGACGGATGGACAGGTAGAGTGAAACTAAAAAGCACACTTTTTCTCAAATTTGTTGGAGAACTGCTAATAAAAATTAAACGAAAACTTTTTTAATGAATAGGTGAAAAGTATTTAGGTAAACATATGAGCTGCAACGCATATTAATGAGAAAGTTTTTTTCTCTCTCTGTTTTCATAACTTTTTGCTTTTTTTTTGCTTTGAATAAAAGTGTTGAATTTCTTTTAGCATAAGCCCCAAATTAAAAGTTTTTAATTAAAGTGACCATACATTCTCAATATGATGGGGTATCTCAATAGTATTAGTAGTTTGTTAACAGTAATAATTTTTAATTATTTACTTAATTTTTTATTTACTTCCATTTTTGAAACATAATCTTTATAGAAAAAAAAACCTCGTAAGTGCTTAAACTTCAAATAATTTAAAAAAAAGTATGCAAAATAACTTGTTTCGACACAAATCCATAAAGTTTGTGAGAATCATTAAGGAAAGCTTTTTTACGTTCGTAAAAAGTTAAGAATATATCAAATGATTTGCAGCCTGCTCGTGTATCTCGCATTTTACTCACTTTTTGTTTCCTTCAAATCAAAATTCTTTGGATTTTTTGAATTTTTTCTCAAATTATCGACTGAACGTCTCAATTTCAAAAACAAAGTGAATAAATTTTAAATAGATTTTAGAAAAAAAACGAGATACCGAATAATTCTTCTCACTCGAAAATTACATTATACAGAAAGTTAATCACTTTCTTCTCACTTGCCGAGTAAAATAACGAGATAGACGATCATATTATTTTAAGATTTTTTAGTAAACTTGTACAAATGACTGCAAAAATGATTTGGCGATTTGAATAACTTTTTATTTGACGAAAAGCTGTGAAGCTCTGAAATTTTATCAATTTGTAGACATTTTCAAATTATTTTTGTTTTGAAAAATTAGACTAACTTTATTTCGGCTAGAATTACTGAATTAGCTAGATCCCAAAAAAGTAATGGTAGTGGCCTTGTTATCAAAAAATATAATAATATTTATCTATTCCTTAACTATATAAAATTGTACTATTCATTAATACTGTTTTTAGTTTTTTTGTTTTCCTCTTATAGACATGTATGTACTAAGAAAAAAACATTACCTATGATATCGAAAATGTAACTGTAATGCATTTCAATAGTGACATTAAGCAATTATTTGTTTCGGAAGTATTATACGAAAATTATTCTTGTAAAGTATGAAAACTCACAATTTTGTAAGATAAATATAAATTTCTAAAAATTTCAAAATATACTTTGGGTTTAGTTTCGTAATGGATTTCCACAGGTACTTTTCTTATTTTTATTAACAACTGGCAACCTTAACACTTTTAACCATAACAACCAAGAGATTTTTGTTACCGGTGATATTATTTACGTTAAGATTGTGGTTTTATCATGCACGAAATAAGCGTTACACAAAGTTTATTATAAACATTATACATCCAGGCACTTATAAGAGAAAAAATATATACATATATGTAAGTCTATACATATTATTTTTACGAAAATGAAATGTTTCAAGGTCAATTCAACCGAAAAACGCGATATTACAAAAAAAAATGTTATGTATTACGTTTTCATACATAATAAAACGAATAGGGTACAATATGGGCAGACTGTGGTAAATATTTACGTACACGTGAAGCCAAAAAATCTTGTTGCGCTAAATTTGTTTTTTTTTTTTACAATATTTACATAAACATACATATGAACATGCATGCACAAATATAATAAAAATATTTGAGTACTAATTCAAGTTTATTGTTGTTTTTTCCAGTTATGTGAGATCACTTTCTCTCTTTCTGTTTTTGATAATTATTGGAAATTTATAAAAGCAAAACATTTTATTTACCAACTCACGGAATTTCTTATCGATAATAAATCAATATTTTTTTACTAAATCAATAATATCATAAAGATCTATGAAAATATGAATGAAAATTAATATCGCACATCTTTTGCATTAAATGATTTTCTTAATTAAGTAACTATCAAGTCTTTTGTTAGATAACTAAGCCCCAATTTAAGATTAAATTTCCGTTGCCAGTAAATAGCACTGAGCTCGTTTGATAATATCAACTGCACAAAATGTCTAAACAGCGTAGTTGAATATTTGTTTGAAATGTTTCACCAACTTACTTCAAAATTAAAGCTGGAACCCAGAGATTAGAGGAAAATTTAAGAAAAGCACAACTTTGCTTTGTAATTTTGGATCTGTAAGATTTTCTTTTAGAAAGAAGAGCAAGTAATTCATATTTGTCTTAAGCAGTATCAGCAAATTGAATCTCAATTTAAACAAATAAAGGAAAACACGAAAAATTAAAAAAAAAACTTACATAAGACATCAACGCCTGTGAATGTTTTCCACTATAATCCCTAACAGTATGATGAATACGATTTGTACCATAATACAATTCCCAACTGCTTGGTTTATTACGATGCCATTCTAATATTGAATTTTTATCTTCAGTTTCTGTCCGATGAATATCTTCTCTATCCAAAAATGGACTATGATATGATAAGTTCTTTTGCATTTGACTTGTTCTGTTATTCATTATATGATCTTTATCAAATTCACCATTTTCTAAACGATATAGATCATTATAACTTAATTTATCATTGATTGATATATTCCGGCTATTTAAACCTCCATTATTACTATTACAATTATTATTATTAATATATAATGATTTCTCATTGTCATTTAATGATAATTGTTTTGGTCTAATTATTGATCCACCATCATATAATAATCTATTACCATTACTAACAATCATGGCACTATTGATTGATGTATTCATATTCATATTATTATTGTTATTATTATTAATAATTGAACAACATGAACGTTTCGGTACCGATTCATAATTAATATCATAATCAAATTCACTATTACAACAACTACTTGTTCCTGTTGTTAATGATTTACGACGTTCAAATGCTTTGGTTAATGTTACAAGTTTTTGATTATTTACAACACCATTACAAAATTGTTTTATTTCCAAATCACTATTATGATTCATAATTGATAAATATTCTTCTAATTGAATTTTTAATAAATTTATATTATTTTCCATTGCCTTTGGTATAACACGATCATCTTCACCAGCTATTTCAGCTATATTACGTATTTTAATTTGGATATCTTCAAGCATATCACGTGTATTTTGAAAATGAATTTGATCTTCATATTTTTTTAAAAAAAATGCTATTGTTTTATCATTTGATAATGATGCATTACCAATCATCGGTGGGAGATTAGTACTTGAATTATGTTCTAATTCACTTTCAACTTTATATGCATTCTCTGGACATGAATTTATATATTTAGAACATTTATAATTATTTTCCATTGGTTCACGAATTAAAATTTCATTTGTATCAAACGATGGATTATCGATTCCATTTAAATCATTTTCATTATTTTTTATGTTTGTTGATTTATTTTGAGCTAAAGTTGTGCTATTATTATTAGGATTATTATCATTTACCAATAGGAATGAATCCAAATCAATATCCATTAATGAATCATCCAACATGTCATCAGTCCATGATTTTTGTTGATTCTTTTTCGTATTTGAGCTTTGACTATCTATGCCTGAAAAATAAAATTATTGAAGATAATTTTTAGTAAATTCATAATTTTGTTTTCGAAGCTATGAATAATTTAGAGAGCCTACTGATAAAAGACCAATAAATCAAATGGGATAATGTACGATGATTTTATAAAACTTTATATTAAACGTGAGAGCGTAATTAAATTAATTTAACATAGAGTAGTAAGACCCATAATTTATGGTAGCTACTGAATTTTTAAAGAATCAACCGGTATCAGCTAATAAAAAAGATTTTCTAAATATTTTCTAAATATAGTGTATTAACTAAAATAATGAAAATTTTAGAAAGTTTGCGAGAAAAACTTTTTCAGTAATAAATTTTAAAAACAAAAGGTAACTTTAATTAAGAATTTCTACGCAAAACTATATTTTGCAAAAAATACATAGGTACATTGTGATGCAGGGGTTCACAAACTTTTCATTATTATTTCACAAGAAAATATCCTTTTGACCCAAGTTCTTGGATATAAGTAGATAAAGGCGGAATTTTAATTGTAATTTTTATAAAATAATTTGAAAAATTCAAGTTTTTCCGTAAACTATGTTTAAAGGCTTAACACGCTCAATAGGTGATTGAACTCATCTTAAACTCTGTCTTAAATGTTATATAAAAAACATTATAAACCCTTTCAAAAACTACTTTTCAGAATCGCAATTGAAATATTTAAAACAGTTATTCATTGGGGGGCAAAAAGAATAACTGATCATCTTTTATTTCATGATCTGGAGAGAAATCAAGAATACGCGATTAAAATTCATAATAGATTTTTCATTAAATTGGACTTAATTTGATCGACTGACATTAGGTTTAAGAGACTCTTTATTAAACCGTGTTAATTAATTTTGCAAAATTATTTTCTATTGCGTTGTCTTTTTCACATTAATCCGCTTATAAAATCTCGATTCTTAAGACATATTTATAACGTAATCTATTTCAAGTGTAAAATTGTAATAAAATTAATTTGAAAAAAAAAACATTTTTTAATTTAAACTAATTCGAGAAAATCAATGATAATTTCTAAGAAAAGCAACTGAAAATTGATTAATTTTTCGAATGAAAATTTCAAAAAGAAAGAAAAATTTTAAAATAATTTTTTCAAAAAACACTCAATCACGTACACTATTTTTTATAAAAAAATTCTGCATTTTTACTCTTTAAACATGATCAAGTGATTTTATATACAAAGACGCATTGGTAGAAAAGAGGTCTGAAAATAACCAGTTTTTTTTTTAGTTTTCTTTAAACTCTGCTACATTGGTCGACCTAATTTTGAATTTCTTTATACGTATGAAACATGTGAACACTCTTGTGTATATTACGTACATACATATTCATATGTTTTAATAATAAAAATGAAAATTACATACATTCAATATACAAATTGAAATTGTTTATAAAATAATCTTATTTACTCACCTTCCATTATTGTTGGCAAATAAACGTTATTTAATTGTTGAGGAACTTTCTGCATTAATACACCACCAGCGCCATCATTATTAACAATATCAATTGATTCTTCAACAATATTATCAAATGATGATGATACCGATGATCCAAAAGATGTTGATCTTAACAATATAGAATTACTTCTTAAATGAGGATAATTTTTTAAATGTCGATCTAAATTTTTGATACTTGTTTCCAAATTTTTTAAACTTTCATTCATTTTAGCATTCTTTTTATCCTCTTCAATATTATTAACTTGACTATGATTGGTAATAGTACTATTATTATTATTATTACTGTTATTATTATTGTTATGGTTATTAACATTACCAGCATGTGGAACATGACGGCCATGATTACTATTATTACCACTAAGAACATAATTAATAGTGAATTCTTGACAATTATCATTGTGATATAAACCATGGCGATGTCCTTGATTATATTGTTGTTGTAAATGTTGATAATGTTGATGTTCATTTTCTTTCTGCTGTAGTTGCTGTTGTTGCTGTTTTTGTCGATCATACAATTGATGTAAATATTTTGATCGGCGTATAGATGATGTATTAAAAAATTTACGTCCCGAGCCGACAAATGTTTCATTAAAACTACGATTTGTCATATAAAAACTATCTTTATTAATTGTATCACTTCTATTTATATTCATCATCAACAATCCTTTTGGTAATTTACATATTTTTTGAGATGATGCGGTTGTACCGGGCAATGATGATAGTCTTGATCTACCAACATCACAATCGTCAATGTTACTATTATTATTACCAATATTATTATTTGTTGCTGTTTTTGGTTTTAATGTAATCGCAGATGAAATTTTAGTATCATGAATTTTTTCATTAGAGTTTGGTATATCAGCAACTAAATTATCAATAACTGGTTCACTATAGATATGTTCTTCAATTGAACTAGATGAACATAAATTTGAACTATAATAACCAGATGATCCACCGTTACTTCGTTCTGTTGAATAATGCGACAAATTATTTGTTTGATCATTACTACTACTACGATCAGAACTTTTCTCTGAATAATTTTGTGATAATTGACGCTGCATATTTGTATTTATTACTTTTGTAGTAGCTGGTGTTATTGCTGATGATGATGAAGATGATTCTAAAAATGATTTTGTAAATGTTGGTGATTTGATTTTATTTAATTTTGTTTCTATTGGTATTGTAGTTGCTGCTTCTGTTGCAACTACAGATGTTGCTACATTTGATGTTATTGTTTTAAATTTTTTGGTTGATTCTGAATTATTTTCTTGAACAGTATCATCATTATTTACACCGGTATATTTATCAATACTACTATTATTATCTACATTTCTTACATTGCTACTTGAATTTCTTATTTTATTATTAATATTATGATCACTACAATTTTTTTCAGATATATTTTTTGCAGAAATTGAAAAATCATTAGTATTGGTATGAACAGCAGCAGATGTAGTAAAAGTTTTCGGTAATATTGGTGCAACTTGATCAGTTGAATTACAAATATCAGATAATGATAAATCGTTACTATCTAAACTGTAATGCTGCAATTGCTGTAAAATATTTATTTTTTGTTGTTCTATTGGTTGATTGTTGTGTTGATATTGTAGATTTTGAATTTTTGCAATTGTGATAGGATCAGATATTTGTATTTTGTTGGTTGATGTTGTGGCAGTAGTTGAAGTTGTTATTGTTTCAGCGGTTGTTGCTGTTTTTGAATGCAAACTAGCTATTGGTTTATTATTATTATTATAATTATTTTTAAATTTTGCTTGTGTTGACGGCGACAAAGATGCTGATGAAGAAGAAGAAGAAGATGGCATTGAATTCACGGGATATTCGATACTGAAATTGAAAATTTAAGAAAAATGAAATTAATGATTGTGAACGAAAAAATATTTACTATTGTTGTGGGTGTGAAATACATATTCAAAAATTTATTGTATTTTTATGATTGTATTTCATAACAAATTTATTCAAAAAATCATTAATTTTAAGAAAAATTATGATATACATAAATCGAGAGTTCGGAAATTCAAAGATTCATTTTGTTTAGATCAATTGCAGCTGTACCTTGAAAGCATAACGTTGCATTAACCTTTCGAAACCTATACTGCTCTCGGTTGAGAATTAAATTTATTGTTTTCTATAATGTTAATAGAATGAACTTTTTTTGGAAATATTGAAGAACTATATTGGATGATTAGCAAAAATTTGTTGTGAACTCACCGAAGTTTTCGAGGCGTTATAAAACAATAACTACGTATATACGTATAAAACCATTTTAATTTTAAGTTACTTTTTTAGGCTCTCTTCCATTAGGCAGTATAGGAAAGATTGAGAAGCAGGCACGATTATTATGCCTTTAGTAACCCGAACTGAACTCACAATTTGATTAAATTTTCTGTAGTATTTCTGCTTAATAAAGTTGCCGTTCATCAAATTATTCAATACGCAAGATTTGTTAACAAGTTTCATCTTCTTTCGAATAATATCTTACAATATATTTTCCTTCAAATAAAAAACATGACTTTTCACAAGAATTTTCTTTTTTCGGAAAAGTTTACAAGATACAAAAATTTTTAATAAAAGCAGAAAATAGCGAACAAAACTACATTTATGGCTTTTTCTAAATTAAATTACAATTAAAATTTCCATTTTAACTTGTCTTTATTGCAAAATATTTGTTATTGCACTAAAAATTTGCACACAATTAACATTTGCAAAGATCATTTTGCAATTTTTTTTGTTAAATATTTCCGTTTTCTAAAAACGGTGCAAATAAATGTAAAAATTAATTAATTGAATTCATTAATCGAAAAATAGAAAATCGCAATTTTTAAGTGTCTGGGTTTTCTCGTACCATCAGAAGCTTTTCAAAAATTTTACATTAATATTGAAAATAAAAAATATAAAATAAAAACGCAATATCTTGCAAGACTGGTTAATTTCCTTTTTTAATAAACAAGTATAAGACAGCAGAAATTCTGGTAGATTTTATATTTACTCATATTTTCTCCTCTACTTGCATTTTTGTTTCTGAAAATTGCTTGTAGAATTTCATATATGTATATAAAGATATACAAGAATGTCATACGTATAAAGTATGTACAATGGATCAAAATAAAAAATGCCAAGCTTATTGTTGCTATTACAGTAAGTCTAAAGATTTTTACCCCAAAAATAATAAAATATACGAAATTCTATTGAATTAAAAATTTAATTTAATTTGAAGCCCTTAAAACTAATTTCGCGACAAGTCAATAATATAAAATAATCTAAAATTAAATTGAGTTTTCTGCAAATTTTAAAGATTTATAGGCCATTAAGTGTATTGAATTACTATAGCTACAAAGAAATAACAGCGGAACTAAAAGAATGTTAAGTAAAAAGAACAAAATCAAAATTTCGTAGATAAAACCCGATAGATTTATTCACAAAGGTTATAAAATATCAAAATTATCTAGAAACCTTAATATGTAATTAAATTATTCCTATTACTAGAAGAATCTGAATTTACACCATTTATTCTTAAATTCTTGAATTAAGCAAAATTTTAAATTCAAATTTTTTATATGGTATTTTATTGGTCGTTGTCTTTTATTTGCTACAAAAAAATTTAAAAATTGAAAACGTTAGACAAAATGGTAAAAATTTAATTGCTGTTCAAAATCTATGCAGTTCAATATTTTACATTAGTTGTATAACATAGTTTAAATTTGCTTGATCACGAGTGCCACCGGGCAGCTTATTCATATTGTGCTGATGTAGTGAAAAATTGAACGGTATACATACATATGTAGGTAGGAATATTTCGTAAAAGTAGTTTCAACCAGTGCTGTTAACTGTTATTTTATTTTTTATCAGTTTTAAGAGATATACTTGATGTTGGATCATAAGTCGTCAAATTATGGTTAGCATTCTCTCAAAAAGAAAATTTCACTTGTTGTGCAGAAGTACCTTTATTTGGGTGAAATTTTTTAAATCTCACTACAATCACAATATTGTAGTGGGAAATCATTGCTCATTAAATTAATCAGTTTCATAAGTTTATATTGGATTGGTCGAATTGGTCGTGCAAATGGTCTTGTATAGCTTGAAATTCCTGACTCCATTTAAATCAATCCAATTGCTTTTTGAAATTATTATGAAAATACTTAAAATTATTTTTAAAATTACATTTAAAATTAAAAAAAATTACATTTTTTCAACGTATAGTAAGAAATGCTAACTAAATTTGGTTTGCATCCCTGATTGCATTGTAACTATAAATGTAGTACAAAATACACTATAGACTATACGGTTATTTCAAATCAGTAATACTTCCTTTTTTCTTCCATAGCATTAATTATTGCTTTCATGGTAATGGAACTTATTTTATGACCAATACCAAGACCAATTATAGCTTTAATGGTAAAGCAATATGGTAGATCAAGTTTGAAAATCTAGGTGAACTAGTATTTTGTTTCTGCTTTTTTTCATGTTTAATTTTTTTATTTTCTTGTAGATTTGGGACATATAAAATTTAATACGTGATCATAGATACAATTCACTTAATAGAATAGCAAACATTTCGTAAAAGAGAAAAACGCGCTTTCAGATATTAAGATTTTCTTATTGCAAGCAAATAGGAAAGTGCAGTAAGGATGGTGTTGTAAAAGCGACAATATTATTAATTTTGTTTTTGTTTTTGTTTTTCTTGTAATCTTAAGTGCAGAGAAAATAATTTTTTATTTAATATTAAGTGCATATTTCAAATTAATAAAATGAAGCTTTCAAATTCGCTTCACTATTCATATTTCTTGTTTAGTAAATGAAAAAAAGAGTGTTAAATATTGAGGAAATAAGAAAGTTTACTTATTCTATTTCAATAACATAATATGTGTGTTAGGGTTTAATGTCAACCTCTTTTAATGAAGAAATTCATTTTTAAAACAAGTTTTTGGTTTTCAATTTATTGGTTAATTCATAATTTTAAAGATGAATCTTTAAAGAAAGTGTGTGTTTAAACTATGTTGAGTTTCATTATTTATGAAAAGGCTGGTTAATATTAGAGTTTAATTTTGTATGTCTGTTAGAATATGAAGGATTTTTAACTGACTTTTGACACTTTCTAAGCTTTTGAAATTTTAATTTTGATTTAATGATCATAACAACTCTTGGATTCCTTAATGCGTGCTTGTGTACGTGATCCCATTTAAAATAATTATAATATATTATGAGTAAAACATACACAATTATAATGACAATTTAATTTTATTAAGAAGCCCAAAGTATAAAAATTCTGACCAAGAAAAATTCAATCAAAGTTATTTAATATGAAATATCATTAACCTAAATCAATAAGAAGACAAAAAACAACAAAATGCTAACCAAAGAATATTCTAACCATACCCAAATCATAAAAAAAATTAAATAAAATTGCCATCGATTTGTAAAACAGCATGTGGTCAACCTTGATTTCACTGATGATGATAGTTTATTATATCTACGGAATCGCAATAATAAAAAAAAATTAATAATGAATTACTACAAAATATTAGAACTAAATATGGTATTTGTGTAACCAATAATCACAAATCATGATATTAAAAATAAAACAAAAAAAAATGTAATTTATTTTTGTTTGGCACTGATGAAATAGATGGCATCTTGCAATTTTCATACACACTGAACAGAACATAATATGCAACTTCTAAATTTATATATCGCAAAAGTTTCAACGATGACTATCAAAACAGTGGCTTATCTGACAACCAACAAGTAGAATAAAATTAAATAAATTACAAAAAACAAAAAGAAAAACTGAAACGTGAGTGAATATACGCGATTCGAATTTTTGGTATCAATTTACCAATAGTTTTTTTGCTTTTCTTACTTCAGTTTTGCACACAGTCAATGACAAAAATATAAAAGAAACAAATACGAAAAATAATAAAAATTTCATTGGAATGTTCTAATGTTTTTAAGGCCGAATATTACTATAATAATTACATAATAATAAAAATAATTGAAATGATTTTTTTTTGTTCAATTTCGAAAATTTGAAAACATGTGGCGCCACATTAAATTTTAAATTGTGCCATAGGCAAGAAAAAGAGTTGTCCGTGAGTTTGTTAAAGAAATTTATACAAAATATCAGAGTATGCGGTCATAAATTGTATCAATGCTACCAATGGTACACAATACGCCAGTATACATATTATCTTTAATATTAAGAATAAAATAAAAAAATTAATTGCATCAACGAATATGTGTGTATGTATGAAGTACAAAATCATTCTATTATTTATACCTACTGTCGAATCTGTAAACTATTAAGATTAATTGAAAATACTAATGAATAAAATTCAGTAAAAAACTATATGATAGAATAAGCGAAAGAAATAATCAATTGGATGAAAATAATACGACCATGAAAGATGTTTATGTAAGTTTCGGTCACCATAGGTCTCATAGGATGCAATGTCGTTACTCGTTCCGAATGCAAATCAATGACATCTATATTTTCAAAACTTCCTCTTAGAAATGGGATATGATTTATAATTAGATTTTGCGATTTAGATGTTTAGTATCTTAAAGATTGATTTCACTTTACACACGGCAATTTTGCTTATTTCAATATATATACGGTAAAAACGAAAGTATAATTATTAGTACTTAATTAAGAATTAAAATTTATTCTTTTAAATAGTTAAAAAAAAAATTTTCCATCAATGTGTAAAAATTTAACGCAATCGGCATAATAAAAATTAGCTGCTGGGGATGGATTAAAATCTTGTTCTTCTATTACTAACTTCTTCACTGTGCATTCTCCGGTGAAATGTCACTTTCGGAAACTGGGC